GGGGATCGAACCCGGGACTTCATGGGCAGAACGTAAGCGTGCTACCCACTCGGCCACCGGGCAGCAACCCGGGACTTCATGAGCAGAACGCAAGCGTGCTACCCACTACGCCACCGGGCAGCTGATCGCAGAACGCAAGCGTGCTACCCACTACAACACCGAGCAGCTGATCAGACCGTTTTTCATTTTCCATTCACACGATATAGTACAACCCATCTTTGAGAGTTTGTTGCGGGCCACGGACCCTGCTCAACTCAGCACTAGCCTCCACCCACATATAACCCAACATGTGACATAGTTTTTGCTCAATGTTGTCCAACATCTGTTGATTCTCCTGAGTGGACTGTGACAAACCATAGGAAACCATGGAAACTCTCAACGCACCGAAACGAAAAAGAAACCGTACACAGAGAAACACAACAATCTGCATAACCCTGATCCGACTATTTGGGATGCATCGACAATACAATCAGTACACACAGCTTCTGTATTACGTGGAACTTGACGGTGCAAGTAACAATGGACAAAAAAAGCGTCGATGAGGAATATTATCACAATGCACGTACCAACTGATTGGTCGGATCGGTAGCTCGAGCACAGGCTACACGATCCCAATGGGGGACGGCCGAAGTGGTGCATGCGTTGTTGGAGTGGGGTGAACCAGACAGGATTGGATTTTTGCATGTGGTGCTCAAAATTACTTGATGACAGACTTCCATCACACCGAGGCGGAGTAATCGTACAGCGAGGCCGGAATCGGTCGAAAGCAGGGCCAACAGTTCCATCAACCAACAGCGGGCACTAGTAGTGAGATTACAAACAGGTGCCGTGGATGTCGAGGTAGGACTGGGGGATAGCGAACTGTCCTTCAGACGCATGAAAGCTAATAACTGTCGTAATGTGTTGTCTGTGAACAGATTCTGGAAATAAAAACAATGTAAAGAAATCGGCAGATCATCATGCATTGGGGATAGTTAGGCTGCAAGAAACTTGGTTGCATCCTGACATCAACGACCCTTTGGTTGAGCTGGATTTCTTTGATATGCATCGAGTGGATTGTTTACTACGAAATCGAGGCGGTGGTCTAATAACCTACACCAAATCGTCTTGGTGTAAGTCTACAAAGATTATCTTCACCTACAACGTAGGATATATATATATATATATATCTGTCTTTCGGTTGAATAGAAACCCCATTTCCTTAGTAGATATCGTTCCATTTGGTATCAAACATTTACATAGCACCTTCCAGTACAACTTCTGATGTACAGACGTTTGCTGGTGTATTTATATCCGAACTTTCCAACTACACGGAACGCTCTCTTCATTGTTAGTGGTGATTTTAACCATGCAGATATTCATTTCTTGACATGTCTCTCTGCACGATCTTGTAAATTTCTCCACAAGAAGAAACGTGCAGCTGGATCTTATATTTTTGAACGATCCTGACATGTTTGCTGTGCGAAGAGGAGCCCCTCTGGCAAACTTCGATCATTGTATCATCAATGTTTTACCAAAAGTCTATTCAAAGAAACATCATAGAACACTAACGCGTGCATCTAGCCGGAAGATTTTTCATAGGCTGTGACCCGGTCCACCTGGCATCACTGAGAGAAATGGTCTATGGCACAAATTTTGATCAGTTCTTTGATCCAAGTGTCTCGATCGAGTGTGAACA